GACACTGCTACTGAGCATGTGCCACGGAGTTCGTGCAGTCGTGCGTGCACACTTTGTGAGCATACTGCCGGAAGAAATCTGGACGCTCGATTGGCCGTATCCGTTATCAGTCCTGTGCAACCTGACCTGACCTAACCTGAACTGAAGTGAACCGAACTGAACTGCATTGAATTAACACACTAACATTCTGCCTTTCAGAAAACACTATGAACTCAAATTGTTGGAAGCCAAAGAAACCGCCCACAACACACGAATTTGGACACGCTTTTGGCAAGAGCCACAAGTCGTCTTGTGAGAACTGAACTCAACTGAACTGAATCAACAATTTAACCTTGAGGCCATTTCGCGTAACCCGCGTTATACGAAGTGGCGTGGTTAGCGCGCGGTGTTCCGCTACTGCGTCTTCTGCGTACTCGTTCACATTGCTTTTCTGCACGCTCGTGTCTCTCACTGTATTTAATTGTCCAAATGATGTCGGTGAATTCCAGATCAGGTATGTCGTTTATTTTATTATATTTCCGCTAGTCCTTCGCCCCGAATATTTAGGACACACTCCGTATCATATGCCCAATGAGAGTTGCTACAGCAATATCCTTGATAGGAGATATAACACAAATACCGCGCCTGTGTATACCAGTGAAACTTCTTACCCGGTAAAAAGGAAACCATTCCGAAGGCTCCGTAAGTTGTGATTTTCTTTTGTGATTCATTTTCTAAGATCATCCGTATATGCACCATGAACATCACAACCCTCGATTGTATACCGGTGCGTCGAAGACCCACTCCACGGGACCGAGTACCGATCACCCTGCATTGCGTTTGGGAGCTTCGACCGTTCCTCTCAGAAGCTGCGCATCCTCCCCGGACTCAGATGCCACATCATGCAATGACTCCAGTTCACCAAGTTACTCATGTGGATCTAAATTTTCGTCAGAGTCTGTGTGCAATGTCAGATATCCTCGGAAAGACAGCCCTAATCCTAAAAAAGAGGAATATACGAACAGCAGATCCTACGCCCACGGTCAAGCAGAGCAAATCCGGCGGTCCCGCGAGTCAACAACTTTTGCTATGATAGATGCGCAACTGTCTCGTCCTCCCTTGAGCCAAGTGCGGGATATGTATCTACAAAACAGGTCCGGTTCCGGTTCTGGCAGCATCAGTTCCGCCGCTCGAACTACAAAAAAGGTCAATTTGTCAGTAGTACACACTGTTGTGAGGTTCCGAGTGAAAGAGTATCTTCGAGAGATCCAGGAACACGTGAAGCGCCTGTTAGATGCATTGTTCTGTAACATGTATGAACATTATGACCCACGTATGCGTAACACCCTTGCGTCCCAGTTGTTTGGCATCGCGCGTTTGCCCTGTACATCTGACTGTCAGTTTTGTCCGGAATTGCTCCAGTGTGGTCGGAGTAGTCACTCTTCACTCTCCCGCGCCGAAGCACGTAATCGCTTGTCCCAAACTGGACTGTCCCCCTTCCACAACTACGCCCGACCGTACAGCCGCAACAACTCGCTCCTGCAGACAGGTTCATTGGGTTCGGGGCCGCAAATGTTCAAGCGGTCATTTGAATTATTTAGATTCATTAAGCGTTAACCTTAACACACCATGTAGGTGAGGCAGGGGTGTGATCCTCAACCTGGTCCGGAACGCGGACGCATGTAGTCAAAACGGTAAAAACAGCCGTGCCCAACAACCATTGCCGGAGCGAAATTGTCCATTGTGGGTGAGGACCCCAAGCCTTCGGT